TTTCCTCCGTATATAACGCTAATATATGTATAAAATTTTGGAAATCAGAATACAAAATTTGATGAGTTTGAAATTTTAATTTACCATTGTCTATGCAACACGTATCTAAATAAATATATGTCTTGTTTATTATTTAAACATATAGTGGCTAAACTATGATGTAATTTGTTATGAGGATAAATGGTCAAATAAATTTGTTAGTTGTAGTGAAAATGCAATTAGAAATAAGAAAATAAATTATTGGACACTCCAAAACTATGCAACCAAGTCAATTTACATGTTGAAACGTGTTAATTTGTGTTATTTGGCATGTTTGCATGGCACCACAAATAGTTTTGTCAACATTATCCTTTGATTTGTTGTAATATTATTAGGTATATTGGATAGCTACATATTTCCTTGTCAATGAGGGAGGCAACGTAACTATAGCTAACTCCTTCGACAATTTTGATAGAGTCAATCAACTTCCTTTCCTCTTTTTGTCAAAGAAGGAAGTATGCGACGGTCTCACTGAAAGCATTCATGGCTACCTCCTCCTTAAATTTGAACAAGAAAAATACATGTTTCGATAATTAGTTTATCTTTATCAATTCAAATTATGAAACTTCTTTGATATTTTTCATATTTAAAGAGAATTCCTTACTAAATCGTAACTATTCTACACCTGGTCGGTAACATGTCCGATACTTGAGTAGAGTCTGACCTGACTATTACCGACCTTAAGTTAGATTAAGTGTAATTCAGCTAGTCGAGGATAGGGTAGTATCAATTGTACTACCCGCAAGCACTTAAGGTCGGACCGAGCACCCGACCAAGAACGCTAGTTTGCAAAAAGCTGAGAATAAATTTAATCTAATTAGTTTTGTTACATTAAAGAAATAGATGCATGAATACTTAAATTGATTCCCTTCTACTATTATTTATAAAATTAACCACGCCATTTTTTAGAAATTGATCATCCTAAATGGATGGATTAAATTAGTTCACACTTATCACGAGAAACCTTATTCACATTTGATCATGATATATATATATATATATATATATATATATATATATATACACACATACACACACACACGTGTGTGTGTGTGTGAACCACCTCCATATGAGTTGATGAGAATCAGTGGTAAAAAATAGATTTATGGATGAGATTAATTGAGAGGATGCATATGAAATATTACGTTGTGTGCATATTAAGCATATATTGTGTGCAACATAGGAACATGCTCCATATGCTGTTATGTACACGCACATTTTTAATACCCCTGATCAATCTCATCTCCCTCCCCCAACTTGAAATCCATCATGACTTATAACAATTGATGTTATGAAGTGGGACCCACTAATTTATTATCAAATACACAAATTACTTTTATATATGGGAACACATTTCAAATAATAAGTATTTAATTTCAATTATGATTCTATTTTATATTCTAATATTTAAATCAAACCCATCTTTGCTCTTTTCATTTAAAAACTATATTAAAATCAAAATTATTATAGAAAAATCCAATAATAATAATAATCTAGATAAAAGCTGTAAATAAAGAAACGTTCAAAGAAACACGTAGTACTCAAAAGACTAATTACATGTAACTTTTGGGCCCGTAAGCGAAGCAAAGAAGTTAATATCGCGACCCGACCGCGTTAACCCAACAACCAAACGGCCCAGAGAGAGGGACCCACGGACCCACCCGTTGGCGACGTCATCAACTACCTAAAATGTGAACGCCTGACTGAGTGACTGCTCCAAACAACGATTAGCGGTCTCTCTCCGGCATCACCTCTATAAATCGCTCTGTTTTCAATTTCTTCATCACCGCCGCGTTTCACTTGCAGAGCAAAGTTGCGTACCAATCCACAGTACCAGATATTCGGAGCCTTAATCGCTTCCATTCCCCTCAGAAGTCGAAGAAAGCGTGCTAGTCTACTTCACTGTTTGCAAGGTGATTTTATCTGTGTTTTACTTGAATTTGTGGATTCAATTGTTGCATTGGTGATTGTGATTTTCCGGATAATTTGATAAATTGGTGTGAATTTAACGTGCGAGTTTGTTTGCGGTAAGTTAAGAGCTTATGTATTTATGTAGTGTATGACTGTTTGGATTTGCCATGAATGGACTGAGTTTAGGTTGAATGGAGCAAATGTTGAGTAAAACTGGAGCGAAGAGGGTTCAGTTGCTTCCGGCAGTAAATGATGATCATGGAGGAGTTATAGTGGAATTGCAGGAGCTTATGGATTCGGATGTCTTTGAAACCGCGCTTCGAGATTCACTAGCCGAGTGGAAGCTGCAGGTATGTTCCTTTTATTCAGCTTCTTTTGGTTAGAGATGCTGCCTGAATACCTCTAGGGAACAAGGAGGAGGAAGTAGACTGATTGAGCCATAACATGCCTTAGCTGTTGACGTTTCAAAATTTAACATGTCAAAAATGCTTTCATTAAAAAATTGTAGAAATTTAACTTCCATACCTTGAATGCTGATGTTTTGACATTCTAGTTTTGGAATAAATTGGTAATGACATGCTTGTAAATATAAGGTGCGTGATTTTTGTTTGTTTATAAAATGAATTTGTACACATCATGGTTAAAGCTTGCTTTGCTGCTTTGCCGCTTTGCCTAAGTATTCATGATGGCACTCATAATAGGAGGAGAAGAAGTGAAATCCATGGTTTCTTACTTTCTTCATTGCCAATACGGCAAGTTGGCAACCATGCCATTATGATCATTGACTAAAGTCCTTTTTGGCATTCCCTAACATGATTAAAACGGAAAGATACCCTTGGCTAATACATTTGTGAATCATGAAGTTGCATAAAAGCTGTTTTTCTTTCACTTTTGCTTTTACTTTTGGGAGTTTTGGTTCTAGCAGTGGATCTTCTGGTGGTGGGTCAGGATAACTTAAAAGTTTTCGCACAATTGTTTTACACATCAACTTAACCTGTCTATTTCCTAATTTAGTTTGTGCAAGAAAGTAATACGAAACTCATCATTGTCCACTTTCTTATATTTGGTATCTTTTTCCAGAGTGCATTGTCACTTAAAACACTCTTACAAATTAATGAGCCTAATCCATCCTCCCTCACAGTTCCTTCATTGACCATCCTAATGAACTGTTCATTTACATTATTTGCATTACTTATATGTGAAATAAACTGCATGCTGTGGATGTGCAACTGTCTTGAACTTGCATGATGTTATGACTCACGACTCTAATGGACTAACATTTGTTATTCTCCTGTCCAAACCTGTTGCAACTATCTTTCAATATTTACTTCTTGCATTGTACCCTGACAAATATACTTTGCAGGGAAAGAGGGGTGTGTGGATAAAGGTGCCAATTGGACTTGCATATCTAGTAGAAATTGCAGTTAAGGTAATCTTTTCATTTCTTTGGACTTTGAATCTGTTTGGTATTTTACATAAACTGTTTGGAATGATGAGCAGCCAAAATTTGAAAAGACAAGACAATAAATTTTGCACGTGAAAGCTGAAAACATGGAAATCTACTACATGTTCATTGAATGGAATCATATTTTCTTTAACTTCATATGAAATTATTATTTTGACTAATGTTCAAAAATTTACTATGAATAGGCTCCAGATTTGGTGGTTGCATCTATATTACCTATTTACCATCTTATAATTGGTGCTCATTACCTCACTGTGCCATTTACTGTTTATATTTTAATGTATGATATATTTATTACAGGAAGGATTTTGGTATCACCATGCAGAGCCTCATTACCTGATGCTTGTACGTTGGATCCCTGAAACAGCTAATACCATCCCTGCAAATGTCACACATCGAGTAGCAATTGGCGCTATTGTCATGAATGACAAAAGAGAGGTGATTGCCATCAATATTACTGATAAACCTATAGCATACTTGATTTGTATCACACATTTTGTGAGATAATAAATTGTGTTAATTAATTCTAATTATATTAAATAGTCATTGGTTAGTGAGCTAGGAGATTGTCATTATTTAATTGCTGTCTAGTATGCTATTCTAGTTCTAATTTTGCAACATCTGGTTTTAGCTGCTGGTCGTCCAGGAAAACAATGGTAGACTCAAAGGAAGAGGGGTCTGGAAAATCCCAACTGGAGTTGTTGAAGAGGTAGGCACCAAAGCTCAATAATCGTCGCTTGTTCAGTCCTAAATCTATTTTACCCACAGAACTGAGCTTCTTAACCTGCAGGGAGAGGATATTTTTGAAGGTGCAGTAAGAGAAGTAAAAGAAGAAACCGGAGTAAGCATAATAAATCCATTCATAAACAAAATTGCATATTTTCCCCCCCAAATTACAGATATCTTACTTACCATACTGGCTCTGGTATGTTTCAGATCGATACAGAATTTGTCGAAGTACTGGGATTCAGGCAAATACACAAGGCTTTCTTTGGGAAGTCAGATATGGTCTTCATATGCATGTTACGCCCTCTATCATTTGACATTCAAAAGCAGGACTTAGAAATCGAGGCTGCCCAGGTATGAACGGAGTCATTTCTTACTTCATGACTAAATTAGCTATGATATAATATTGTATCAAATCTTTCCAGTTCTTTCTATAGCAAAAACCATACTATATGTTTCTTCCTTCCTTCATTGCAGTGGATGCCATTCGAAGAATACGCAGCACAACCTTTTGTTCAGAAACACGGGTTTTTCAAGTCCATCAGCGATCTATGCCTGGCGAAAACACAGGGGAACTATGTAGGCCTAACTCCGGTTCCAATAAGATCATTCTTTGATTCTCATTTCAGCTATCTTTATCTCAACAAGGAAGATTTGGACCAGCCAGACCATAAAGTTCATCCTTGAAGAAGCAGAGCAAGAATGTATCTGCTCTTACACTCATCTAATTCATTATTGTTATTCTTTTTTACAGTATTCTTTCACTTTCACCATAGTTAAAAATAAATGTATCTGCAATTATATATAGGTCTTACTTAGCTGATTAGCTCAATGTATTTGATGTTCTGGAAATAATAAAGAAGATGAAAATGAAATGGTATTTTGAAAAAGTCAATGAATAAAGATAGGATGCCATAAGTCCACTACTCATTACACTGATTTATCATATTTAAACTTTTGACCCTAAAAGAAAGCTTGCTCAAGTGAAAAGGCAACACACAGACTTAAAACCATTGCGACAAATCTTCCGCCGTTGAACCTAATGGCGCCGTTGTCGTCTGCCGTCTGATCGTCAGAATCACTGTCCGGAGCATCCGCCGGGGAGTCTGACGGAGCATCGGATGGTAACGGTGACGGTGACTTTGACTTGTGCCTCTTAGCAGGCTTGGGAGACTCTGCGTCGGCGTCCGGTCCCGGAGCTGGAGCAGGGGTCGGGGAATCAGTTGCCTTGAACAGCTCCTTCGGCATTAAGACTTTGTCAAGAGTAAAAATCGCCACCGGCTGTTCATCCAGCAACGTTCCCGTGATTTTCGCGGTCACAATCTTCGTCTTCAATGTCACGACGTCGCCGTCGTTTTGGACTGTGAAGCCGAACTTCTTACCGCCGTCGGTAGCCAATGTGTTCGTCTCGCCGTTATTTGACCTCAAATCCGACAGCGAATGGTAGACGGGAACGCCGTGGTACTCCAGCAGTGACTGTTTCCCATCCGCCGTTAAATTTTTGAATTTCGGCATGAAATTCTTCATAGCGTCGTCGCCGGGGCAGAATATCGTTAATCCACCGGTAACACTGGCATCATATGTCTTCTCAGCAGGGGAAGCCAACAGAGCCTCGGCAAACACTTTGCAGCCATGACTCGACATACGAGCAGTTAGGTTCATCTGGCTTGGACCAGGAGTCGGAGCTTCCGCTTGCGGCGACGGCAAGATACGACTGATCTGGAGAACGGAAATGTTGTAGGGTATCTCCTCGATAGACTTGACGTAAGTGGCCGGCAGGGATCCGCCGTTGTCCTCAGGCCCAAATCCGACTTTTCCGCCCTTCAGATCCGTGATATTGACAAAGCCGGTGGAGCCGGACGCCGAGCCGGAGGCCTGGAACATAGTAGCGGCCAAAGCCGTACCATTGGAGATTTGGTGGAGCTTCTTGGTGTCGTAGTAGTCCAGAAGGACGTGAAGGGAGAGCACATTCTTAATGGTGTTAATGGACAGGTGCTTGGCGAGCAGATCCGCCATGGCCGCCTCGTCGACGGCGCAGACGGTTATGGTCTCGCGGTTGTTGATATCGGCGGCGAGGTGTGTCAGTGTCAGGTAGTGATTAAAGGTAGCAAACGCTTTATCCTTGGCCAGAATGCGGGTGATATTGTGGGCTCCGGCGCCTTCCGGCCAAAGCAACACTGTAAAACAGAGAAACGCCGCAACCACGGCGGCCGTTGAGAGGCTCTGCATTTTCAGTTTGAAGGGAGGCGAGAGTTGCGATGATGGTTTTAGCTTTTCAGTTGCTTTGGAAGTGAGAGTTTGAACGGTACGGCGCGAGTCTATGTAGACCGAGATCCGCGCTGTGGGATAAAATTTGTAACCCCCGACTTGCAATAAATTACTCAAAATGCCATTGACCAGTAATAATAATTACAACATTATCCTAATAATAATTAATATTATTATTACCAATGACACATTTGAGAGGATGTAAACCAGAGGTTGCTCTCACACTGTGACTGGTGAGACTCGATCCTTGGTCATTCTTTCAAACTTTCACCTCTATGACGAGTTGGACTGTCCATACGGGTCATAAATTTTATTTCTGCATAACAATGTAGTTTGAATTCTTACTTTATTATCATCTTATTATTTACAATTCATTTCTTCAAAGTTCTAACCAAGCGCCCCGTGAGAACTTACATCTCGGTCTGACTGGACGGTGGATATGGATAGATAATGGTAGATAATGGTGTCAATCTACATAAAATAATTTAAGAAACTTTATTTTACTAGCAGCTGTAAAGTGCGGGTTCCAATTCTATTTACTCATATATGGTAAAATGTTGTTTAAGTTTGAATTTCAAATTTTTTTAAATATGGTAGTTTCCAGTTTCCTATGGCTCACGTCGTAATTTGCGGGTAATGCATGGGCAATTGTGGAATAAGAGGGCTTGAGAAAAGCCAAATGAGGTGGAGCCGCGTAGGTAGCGGCTGGCACATACTAGGTTGCTTTGACGGTTACGATTCTATTTTCTCCTGTCGACAGCCAAACAGCACTTATATGTTATAAAATATTTTGGACAGTTTTGTTGGGGTGTTGGCCGTATACTATATTAGTATATTGTATTAAGTAGCAGGTGGATTAGAGTTGAAAAAAGTAATTGCCAATTTGTACGCTTTTTTCACATCCACCTTATAAATGCTTGAGCTACATGACGATGGATTATTAGCTGTTAATTACCTGTTTTCAAATGTTTCGATTAAGGATACTATAATTAGCCATTATCATAACTGACTGCATTATCTTCTTCCGACCCAAATTTCGGACCGACAGAATATTTGGGAAGATATAAATTACGATAATTTGCTCAACAATGGCATAAGGGATTTATCGGGATATGTCCATTTTGAACATAATCCCCACACAACTTCTGTCAAAGTTCGAACATTGATATCTTCACTAAAATACTGTCTACTAAGTCATTGAGCTAAGCTCATATTGACACCGACTCCATTATCGATCACAGGATTAAGGCTACCGTGTAAACACGTGGGAGGGTTGGCTGGAGCAACACATCTATTATCCTCAAAACTTAATGATAATAGAAATTTCGTGTAACAGCTTAGTTGACGTGAATGACTATGTACTCTCATATCTTAAGGGGAGCCCAGGAATTCGAATCCCCTCTCATCTCTAAAGAAGGAACGACAGAAACTCAGAAAGTTCTTTACAAAGATAATTGCCGACAAGTACGTGAATGAAAATAACGTGCATTCAACTATTGAAGTAGTGCGCATCAGAGATATTGTTGACCCAGAAGTCAAGGGCTGATAACCGTGATTGCAGGCTGTTAAGACTCTTTTGTCTACTACTTATTAATTGTTATATGGGTTTGTTTAATGTAATGTAATAATTAATTAATTAATAAACATATTTAATACAATCTATGGATATATATATCCACTACAATAACTTAAACATAATACCTCCAAATACTCTACAATTGATAGTTTTACAAAGAAACCTCAATGATCTTGGCAACTGCACAAGGTGATGAGGTTTCTATCTTTTATGCTAGTCAATACACTAGGTCATATGTATGTAACAAGTATGTCTGGTCCTCTCACCTAAAGGGCCGCTAAATCACCGTACTTTTACTCATCCACAATACCTATAAGATCAGGGTGTGGGAGCCCGGGGCAAAGAATTCGCCTTTTGCACCCAAAACATGATTTTACATTGATCCACACACATCACAAGGCAACAATAAAGCACAGTTTATTGATCTTCAATGGTTCCTTCTTTAATCCTTTCCTAGAAACATTTCTTTGGAGTCGGAAATCATAGGAAACCATGAACATGAACTTTCAAGCCTCCCTACTCCGACTTACCCTTTTTCACTTCTATGGGGTTTCTTAGAATATGGAAATCAAAGAACAATTACAGTGGAAACACTAATTAGAAACTAAACCCGTACCCAAAAATCCTGTTACAAAGTGCACCCACACAACACACACATGAAAACACAAGGATGTGGAATGGGGATGATGTAATTGTAGCCAGCTAGGAAATCAAATATTTTCCAGATTTTGAACAGTTTAGAACTTGTAGCAGCTAGTGACAAAAAGCAATGGACAATATTTCTTTACTTTCATGTAATTTAAACAAAAAACACGAGAAACACAATGGATCCAAATAACATCTGTTCACAACAGGAAGAATGCTTTTGTATGTGAAAGATAGTAAGATACACATCCATAATACCCCTGCACCTCCCTAAACACGTGCTCTTAGCAGAGGGAATACTTTTGAGTTTAGACATTACAGAGTAAAACAAGCTCAAAGATTGTAACTTTATGGTCCTGTAAGCCAAACTCTCATAATTCTGAATCAAAATTGAGAAGGCAGATAGGTATCGAACAATATTACCCTCTCTAAGCATGAAGTTTAACACTAATCAAGCATTCCTTTAACCGATAGTACATAGATACACAAATATGTTACTCAAATAAGTTCCCATATCTTCAACTACTGATCCAAGATTCAATCTTTCAAAGCTAGGAGTTAGCATTGACAAGCCAATTAAGTACACTATAAAAACTCAAGAATCTATACTTGAACACTTTAAACTTACATTGAATTACTAAATCATGATTAGCTATAGAGCCATAGTATCAGACACTTCCTAATTGCTCAAATTTCACAGGAAAAGAGCCCCAGAATATGTCAACAACAAACAACAATTGAGAGGGCAAAGTATGAATCATATAAAGATTTTTCTCTTGCAACAATCAAGCTATACTTGTATTGAATCCAAGTAATAAGTGTACATTCAAGAAAGTAGCTTGAACAGGAATAAATTACGGAAAAGCTCATAGCACTTGCCTATCCGCAGCCTCTGCAACAAGGGGCAATCTGGGGAGTTGACCCAAAAAGCAAGAAGACGAGCCGTAGATCAAGGAGACCAAGAGGAACAAGAACACAGTGCTATCGAAGCTCATCATCAAATCCAACCCCAACCCATCTTTGGGGCTGAAACTCCGCTCCAAAAGATCCGGGAAGATCAAGAGCACATCAAGCACAATCGCCTGCATGGTGTTGAACCTCACGTACCTACTGAAATTGGGGTTTCTGACAACGACGAAGTAGAGCGTGAAGAACACCAGAATCCCATTGAGCGGGAAGCTCTTGAAGACCCGTATAGCCGGAACTAAGGGCTGAATCAGAGCTTGGACCGGAGTGAACTGCGTGATGACGTATTTGCCGTACTGAACGCCGTCGAAGAAAGGGTAGAAGTAAGCAATGGCAGAGATTAAACGGTCAGGGCCATCCGCTGTGCTGCTGCCCTTTGATTGAACGGTGACTAGGAGGCGTCTGGGAGCTCCGGCGGGTTTTCTTAGCAGAGACGGTGAGTGTTGCAGGTGGAGGGGAGTTATGCTGGGTCTGTGAGAGAAGAGTTGGGGTGTAGATAAAAGATTGGATATGGCCATCCCGTGAATCGATTCCAGAAGGATGACCAAGAAAATCTTGAGAGAGAAGAGAAAAAGATGCGATCTTTGGGGGCTTCCACTTGTTGATAGCTCGATCACACGCTAGTCATCGCAGTGAAAGATGAGCAGCTGAGTATCATATCATGGATCGAATTTTGGGCTGGGCTACATAAATTTCATATTTTTCCCAATCTTGGCCCATAAATTCTATGGGTTCTTTTTTAATTTTCGAATTTGATTATGTAGATGAGTTGAACATCAATTATATCGTCGACCATGGCCCAAAAACAGCGTCGTTTCTTTAAGTAAAGGAATAGCAGTCGTTACAGTTTAACGGAGCGTGAAGTTTTGATATGTTAATTACCAAATGAAATTACAGTGTATCTAGACTGACACTGCCTCACGTATTATTTTTATATTATCAAATAAAACTGCAATTGAATTGAAATGAAACTGTACTTGTGTTGAAATAGAACTGCAGTGTGTACAAAATTAAACTGAATAACAATTTACATATTTGAGTGTATATTGTCCAGCGAAACTGTAGTTATATCAAAATGATACTATACTTGTGTTGAAATGAAACTGCAGTGTATATAAAATGAAACTGAATAACATTTCACATATTTGAGTATATATTGTGCAATGAAACTGTAGTTATATCGAAATGATAATGTAGTTGTGTTGTAATGAAACTATAGTGTATATAAAATGAAACTGAATAACAGTTTCACATATTTGAGTGTAATATCGAAAGAAATTGTAGTTGTGTTGAAATGAAACTGCATTGTATACAAAATGAAACTGAATATGTTATACAATCAAAGTTACTTTTTGCGGACGACGCGGAACGGCACGAAACATGTTTTTTTTTTTTTTTTTTTTCATTAAAAGAAACGACACCGTTTGAATGTCTGGACCACATTGCATTATGGACCACTGTCTAATTTGCCTGGGTTGAATCACCTCGTGACGCTACGTTCTTTGTGTATAAATTGCAGTATGTAATCTTTTCAAAACAAGCTTTTGGATCTCAAGCAGACAAGCACGAACCCTAATATTTTCTCCTTCATTTTTTTTAAATACATTTTTAGTTTAGATTAGCTTATATATAGAGTTACATTTCCAACTCATTGTTGAAGCTAGTAGCAAGGATTAGTTGGAGGGGATTCTACTTCAATTCAATTCGATCTAATCTCACATACATTTTAATAGAGAAGCATTTTCTATTCCTCTTTTATTTTCTTATGCAATGTTTATTAGTCTCACCTGTGTTCTTCAATTATTTATGCTTATAATGTGTGAGTAGTTCTATTAAGAGCTTGGATTAGGGTGTTATTCACTTCTTAGATGTAAATATGTGATTAGTGCATAATGGGGAGAATTTCAAGCTAGGGTTCATGTGATTGAGTAGGGTTTATGTGTTGAATCTTGCTAATACTTGATGCGCACATTTATTAGTATGTTTTTTGGAGGATTCCTCACCTCAACGAGTGTTAGGAGAGGAACCCAAGCTTCACCTTGCTCAACCCGATTTATTTCTATAAAAGTAAGGGAAAATATGGAATTTATATGCTTTTGTGCTTGTAGAGCTTGAGATTGATACGCCACAAGAGTGACAATTTCATGTTCTAATCCTTGTTTACTTGCTCATGAAAATGGGACACATCCCTTGATTGATTGTTCTTCCCTAATCCCTTAAGTTATTAAGGCATCTGGAAGGTGATATCCCCTAATTTGAGCCCTATATATCCTTTACTATTGTGCTTTCTTGTGTTTTAATAGTACTGTTAACCTATACTAGTCTTTTTATTCTATCATAGTTGATAATTGCCAACCATGAATATGATTTGCTTGGATTCTTGTGGCCGGGTTTCAAAACTTTAGTGCCTAGAACTCTAGTTATCTCACAAGTACGCACCATATCTAGTCCCAATCCCTTGTGGAACGACATTCTCACCTGTAATCTTACCACCTCTTTCCCATACATCATATATGCCTAAGCCTAGCTTATTAGGCGGATTGCATTTTTGGGTGATAGTGGGTCATTTTCAGTGGTTTGAAATTCCTTTGAACTTGTTGGTAGTTGGATCACACGTTACTTGATGGATAATTTTAATTATCTACGCAAGTGCACGAATCATGTAATAACACATACAATGTGCAAAAGCAAATGTCGATCCCACTAGAAACTCTTCATAACCTAATAAAATAACTAGCAATTTAGAAATGATGATCGACCACTAAGTAGGTGATAAAAACAATAGATTAAAAAAGAATAAAGTTTAGGATTGAGGCTAACTAAATCATCATGAGATTATGTAGATCGAATTGTAGAAGAGTCAAATTAAATTTGTAATTGCACAGCTGCACAAGTACTCCTTGTGTTCTATGTGAAAATTTGGCTTATTAGGCACTTTGTCGTGTTTAAGTTGAGTAAATAGCGTAATTGAATCTAATAAGTTAAAATAGCTCTATAATATACTTTTTATAGTAAAATAGTGTAGTTAAGTTATAATTTTAATTTATTTATTCAATAGGTTAATGTTGATACGATAATAGTTATGTTTTTATGTGATTTTAGACGTGACAACGATTATTTCCCTTAATGAATTGAATAATTTTGAATGAAAATTTATAAAACAATATAAATTAAAATTCAAGCCTCCGCCTGGTACCACACTTGTCTGGTTAGGAATGTTAGTCACTTGCTCCTGTACTGTGTACTTATGGAATGTTAGGCACTTGCTTTATTAGAGCATCCACATTAGTTGGGAAGATTTGGGGGATAATGTAAGAGTGATTGGGAGAGAGAATGTGAGAAGGGGAGAAAAAAAAAAAAAACCAAAATTGATTTTTAAAACAAAAAAAAATTAAAGAATTCAGTCGCGTCATGCGCGCCAGTCGGCGCGCCTGACGCGCCTCCGGGCGCGTGCACTGCACGCGCCCGGCCTTTCTCCTCAGTTCCGCGATACGCGCGGAACTGCGGTGTTTTTTTTTTTTTTTTCCTGCCATTCTCCCCTCATTTGCAGGAGGATTATTTTCTCCATTCTCTCCTTCTCCCATCTGTTAAGCTGCATATTTGTGTACTATTATCTCCATATTATCCTCTGATGAGGATGCTCTTATGTAATGCACATTTTTTGGTGTTTCTAAAATGATTTAAATTTTCTAGGAATGGGGAGAAATTAGGCAATGAAGCAAAAGCGAAATACAATTAGACCACATAACTTAAGGGAAGTGTAATTTGATCATCAAACAAATTAATTTAAAATAACTATATCAAAGTGGCTGGTTATACCCGGCCGTTAATTACTAGTAACTTGTATTAAGTGACATTTTAAAATACTTATAAAATAAAATGATGTATCAAGATTGGTTGTCATGCTTTATTGATAAAAGATAACAAAAAGATAAGGTAGAAATTGGAAAAACGTATAAGCCCTGTTTGGATAACATATATAGTTACGGCAAATTTATGTGTGGATCATGGTACACATAATTTTGTGGACCATGAATATCATGTACATTTTTAATATATTAAAAGTATATTATTTTTTGTACTAAAGGTACATTGTATAAAATAATGTACTCTTAGTATATTAAAAATGTACTTTCATAAAATGTACCTTACGTACATAAATAGTATACCCTTAGTATATTAAAAATGTACTTTTTTATTTATGGTCCATACAATTGTGTGGACCATGGTCCATGTAATAATGATTGGTTAATTAGTTTATCAGCCAATTTTGGATATTGTTTGAATATTTTATATTATTTTTACATAGATAGCAAATTTTATTGTGGATAATAAATTAAATATTATTTTGAGAAAATGACACTTTTTAGCTTCTGAATTGTTTTACTTTTTTTTTTTTTTTTTTTTTTTTTTTTTTGGTGCATGTAAGTTAATATCAATGTTGCAAAAATCGCGCGCAACGGACTAGGCGACTGAGATTAGCTAGTTTTTTTTTTTTTTTTTTTTTTAATGGTTTATTTCGCTCAAAACGGCGTCATTTTGAGCGAAATAATCTAAATCGTTTAAATCGGTCGCAAATCCGAAAAATGTAAAAAGAAAAAAATTGAAATAAGCTATTCTAATATTGATACTTTGTGACTTGTGAGTCGTGACTTTGTGAAATTGTGTTTTCATTCTTTAAATCTTTATATAATTTACAATTCTAGTTGTTTTTAAAGTTAATATTTTATATTTTAGTATTATCTATTATATTAAATAGTTTATAATTATCAAATCTTGTCAAATGCTTTGTGGTCGAGTAACGCTTAGAGATTATTGTAACCTACGTTACACTTTTATTTTAATAATATGGTCGTAATCTATCATTATGTGCGACTATCCCCACTATAGAAATTAAAAAAAAAAAAAAGAAAGAAGAATCTAGTAAATACTAGAAAAAAACAGAGGCTTTCTACATATGCATCGTCTAAAACAACGATTTTTATCAGCTGTAGCAAAAAGAGAAACGTCATAGAAGTCAAGGAAGAAGCCTAGCAACTTTTTCTATGGATAAGGATAAAAGGGGTCTAATTGATAGAATATAGAGGAAACACCGTAAAGATGAAATTGCGAGGTTTTAGGCCAATACAATAATAACTGCGTACGTATGTCACAAGGTTACAGTAGGCGCTAGGCGCTAGTTGGGCGCTCGGGCAGAGCCTAGGCGGCGCTAGGCGGGCACCAAAAAAATTTTAAAAAATAGTGTCAGACTTGTAGTTTGACAATTTTAATGAGTCTGTTTTTAACATTCAATCAAATAACACATCCAAATAAATGAAATAATGATAATTTATAAGTCATAACATCATAATAATATTAAAATCAATAATTAATGAAAGACGAAATCGGTCAAAATCGAACAAAATTAGTCAAAATCGGACGAAATCGGCCGACTCAGCCGAGTTGGCCGACTTTGGCCGAGTTGGCCGCCCAAGTGGCCGGCCAAGTTTTGGCCGAATATAGGCCAAAATGGCAAGGATCAGTGCCGCCTAGCGCCTAGGCGGCCGAGTTTTGCAACCTTAGTATGTCATGATAATGATAGGAGAAACACATATCTCATGATGTGAGATAAAAATTAGGAATCGACTTATGTAGTAGAGTCAATCCACTATTAACATATAGGATTATTTTTTTTATTATATTATTAAGTAAGGGGATCATATAAGGGAGTAACTTGGTACTATTGGACCACAAGATCCATGGTAACATATACGATTATTCTTATCATATAAAATCAATATTCACATTTCACTTTTAAAAATGATTTTATATGGAAAGAATGAAACTTTAACAACCATGGATATTGATTCTAAACTATGAAAATGGCATCATAAAAATATTTGTTAACGGAGTTTGATAATAATTATATAACACTGAGAACTAAAAGTACGTGCAACATATATAATGGATAATTAAAAGACTAAATTTGTTTAAATCAATTAACAAAGACCAAATTTTCAAAAGTGAAACAATATAATTTGTGGGCAAACGTATTATTTTTCTATTATTTAATTTTAGAAATTATTATTTATACTAAGGTAAAAAGTGGTGGTTTATTTTCAACATCTAGTGGACGAGTGAATTTAATTTGAAAATGTTCACCTACCACATATTGAGAGCACCGGTAGGTAACCCCAACTAAGTAGGTTGAACAATTGGATTGATAACTATAAAATTCTAAATTCATCTTTCCATGAGAATTGTATATTGAGCTTATTAATTTGAATCGTCATCTATATGTAATCTATGATGAATTAATTTATTGTCATCCTTTACCAATTAGAATTACCCAATGAATTTTATCCAAACCCATATTCAATTTAGACAAAGATTGTAAGATTAACTTTTCCATAAATCAAAAGATTGCAATCCGAATGCATTTATAAACCTTAGAAATTTTGCATGCGTTTGCCGGTCCGGTATAGATGAATAATACATTAATACATAGACAAACCATATGGCCTTCTGACCTCTCTCATTCATTATAATACATGTATTCAGCAGTGGTTTGATGGGGAATATAAATGTCACATTATATTCTTGTCCAAAGGCCGAAATAATTAATTATGTAGTGTGACTATAATGTTTTTTCTTTTTAAAGTTTATTTTATTTTATTTTTCCTTTTGGTTAATTCAAACCAAGTATTTCTTTAAAACACTCATCATTTTTTATAAGGTAGTATATGTTCTGTATTTTTTTTTTCAATTTTTTCAACCAAAAGAATCAATGCCCTCACCACTAGTTTCGATAGGATCCTATGACCTATCATTTGGAATGGTTAGTTTTATGAAATAGATACGGTGTATATATTTTGATATATTGTTTTTTTTTTTTAATATGTTGAAATTTTTTTAGAAATAATTTGTGTGTTATCTCATGAAAGTTTGGTTATATATTGTACTTAGCTTGGGAATTAAATATAATAACTATTGCTCCCTCATGTTTACTACTTATTGGTCAAACAAATTTGTTCTTCATTGTTTATTTTATTTAGTAATTTTTAATTATTTTTAAATTTAATTTTTTGTGTTTAATAGTACTTCTAATGTAGTTTCTAAAAATATAAATTTTATATACTAATACTAAACTTAATATTATGAAAGATTGAAATAAAAATAACTTCAGTCAAGCCTTATTAACCGAACCAGACAAACAAAATGAGACGGATGGAGTACAAGATATAATTATATGATGCTAATTTGTCAAAATTTGTATGTTCTATTGAAATAATTTGAGTCACACCTCAAATTAAGTAGTATACAAGTGTCAACTACCATATATAGTTTAATGACATCTCAGTTACCTTGTAGTTATAGTTTGAAATATGCTAGTGGGGTTTAGATTCTTTGAACAGGAAAACATTTGAGAAAGTATAGAACATATATTACATTGTAAAGAATCATGAGTATCTAAAAAAAAATAATATACAAGTATTTAAAGACATGTAAGTTAATTGAGTGACCCTACTATTTAGCTCACCAGTTGCATGGACTCGAAATAGGAACTGTGGTGGGTCTTCAAACTTATATATATTATATTACGACTAGCCACATCTATCACCTAGCCAGCAGATATACAATGAGAATCTTCAAAGAGTCTTATGATGATGTAATTGTTGTGGCTATGTTATGTTGTGCTTTGTGTTGGGTATGGGCGCCGCAGATTTGGAAGAAACGCAGCCGCCGGAGCGTAGTTCCCACGAATTGGCCTGTCGTCGGAATGTCTCCGGGGTTCCTACAGAACGCCGGCCGCATCCACGAATATGTAACAGAGATTCTCCGACAAAGTGGTGGGACATTTGAGTTCAAAGGTCCATGGTTTGCTAACATGGACATGCTTATCACCTGCGACCCTGCTAACGTCAATCACATCCTCTGCAGAAACTTCGAGAACTATCCGAAGGGTCCTCGTTTCCAGAAAATATTTCACGTCGTCGGAGAGGGGATGATAAACGTGGACTCGGAGCTATGGGAGCTTCACCGGAAGACCACGCCGCCGCTTATGAACCAGGCCAACTTCCGCACTTCCTTGGAGAGGAACGTGTCGCAGAAGATGGAGAATGGGTTGATTCCGGTTCTTGACCATTACGCTCAACAAGGGACCCACATCGATTTGCAGGAGATTTTCCAGAGAATGGCTTTCGACATAAGCTGTCAGCAGTTTCTGGACAAGGATCCCGGCAGTCTTTGCGTTGACCCAACCGACGACCATCCATTCCGGGAGGCGATCAGGGATGCCGTGAACGCTATTCTCTATAGACATATACTTCCGGAAAGGTGTTGGAAGCTGCAGAAATATTATGGGATTGACAGAGAGAAGAAGCTTACTCAAGCTGATCGGACTTTCGATAACTTCATTTATCCCATACTTGAGGAGAGGACGGAGCAGCTCAATAACAAAACCCAGCAGCAACCACACGATTCCTCCGGCATGCTGACGTCACACATCGAAACCCACCGAGGAAAGTCGATGCAGTTTCTGAGAGACACCTTTGTGACATTGATCATCGCCGGAGGAGACACCACGGCTTCGGCACTCACTTGGTTCTTTCTGCTCCTTGCACAAAACCCTCAGGTTGAAGCAAAGATCCTCCACGACATCCTTCAACTCAAACAAGACAAGAAGGTTTTTAAGGTAGAGGAATGCCAGAAGTTAACCTACCTCCACGCCGCCTTTTGTGAATCTCTCAGGTTATTTCCTTCGGTTCCTTTAAACCACAAGATCCCGATTGAGAAGGATATTCTCCCCAGCGGCCATGTTGTTACTCCAAACATGAAAATAATAATGCCATTTTATTCCATGGGGAGGATGGATATAGTGTGGGGTGAAGACTGCATGGAGTTCAAGCCCGAGAGGTGGATTTCACCGGATGGTGGAATCAAACGGCAACCTTTTTACAAGTATCCCGTCTTCAATGCTGGACCCAGAACTTGCATAGGCAGAAATATGGCTTTCACTATTGTCAAAATGATTGCAGCTACCATAATATGTCACTATCAATTTCAACTGGTGGAACCTCATCATTCAGAGGTTCTAATTACTGATTCCATCCTTCTAGAAAAGAAACATGGTTTGAAGATCAAATTCAGCAAACGTAAGTAGTAATTAATTATAACTATCAACTTTAGTTTTATTCACAACTCGATCTCTACTATCCCGCCTCATATTAATTAATTAATGCAAGCGAGTCTTGTGTTAAAAGTATTTATGATTATCTTAGGCAGCTAGCATAAGTATTCCTTATGTGAATCTTATATCCTTGTCATTGATATAGATATAATGCTTGTGCGGAATTATTGATAATAAGTTCTGCTCGATCAGGTTAAATAAAGCGTACGGGTCTTATATGTTTTTACTATGGAACCAGTATTTTATATGTAATGAAAGCTATGTTTGTACTTACCCCAGGCTAAGTGTGTATTAATTGCACTAAAAAATTAAAGTATTCCGAACTCTATCATTAATATATATAATCATAATACTGTGCTATCACATACCTAACTATACTAGTAAAGTCAATGGATCACAATATAAAATCAATTCAGAAGCTAGCCATCCAAGTTCTATCATTAATCACAATAAATAGTGATCATCACATAATAAATTTGTCAGTATATATATACCTCGACAGATCAGGATTTATAATCAATTGAGAAGACAAGTTTCAAGCTTAATGACAGTATATATATACTCAATAGTTCAGGATGTATAATCAATTGAGAAGCCAAGTTTCAAGCTTAATGACAACAATGGGAGTGTTTGGTTTTCACATGATTATTGACATATTCTTCCTTACTTGATTTCATGGGATAACGCTCATCCTCAATGTCATCATCGGATACAATAGTGACTCTCCAACCCCTAGTCAATGCTAAGGTCTTCTCATCTAATCAATTTTTCCCCACACTTGATTAGCATTGAGTGGGTGGGGAAAAAGAATTTAGAGGCCAGGTAAGCTTTGATGGTATGGATTTTGGGGTGGTGGAGGAGAGTTTGGTTGGCAAGAATAGTAGGTAGATGATAAGTGCATAATTATTCATATTTATACCCCATGTCTACCCCATATTTAGCCTTGTTTTGCTTATGAAGTGTCACAATGTTGTTCAAAATGATCTTTATTTTGCTCATTTGATCCATTATGCACAATTCATTATCTTTGAGTAGAAATGAAGGATTTTAGATCATGTTGGATGCATTTGGAGTCAAGGGGAGCCAAGATGAAGCTAAGGAGATGGATGCAACACTTCCAAAGGAGCCAAAGAGTGATGTTTTCAATGGTGTTGATCATATGGACAAATTTAACCAAGGCAAAAGTGGACAAAGCTGAAATTCTCGCATGGTTTGGCCACTGTTCTGTTTTCGGGGCATATCTCGGTCTAGAAATATCCAATTTATGTGATTCTTGTCCCATTGGAAAGAAGACTCAAAGGGCTACAACTCATATTCAGACATCAAAGCCTAAAAAGGAAGCCACAGGGGTCGAAATTATCCTTGAAGTTGAAGTTCCAAACTTACAATTCAAAACTGACCACTGTTTGGTTTTTGGACCATATCTCAGCCTAGAAATGTCCAAATGAAGTGATTCTTGCACCATTGGAAATCCAACTTAAAGGCTACAACTTTGTTGAAGACTATAAGTGCAAATAAAATGGGTTTAGTTGAGGAAAATAGCCTATAAGTCAAGACAAGTGCACAGAATTCTGTTTTAAGGAGCCTTGTACGCCCTGCCGTACGCCCATACGCAAGCCAGTACGCATCTCTTCTCCCTGATCCAGTTTTCACTGGAAATGCACCAAAAATCGTACCCCCTGGCGTATGCCCATCCAAGAGGCCGTCCCAACCTGCTCTGCCCCTATTTAGACGCGTTTTTGTGTTATTTCAACTCGGTTTTGGACCTTGTTCCAACCCTAGACATTTTCTTTCACTTCCTTTCATATTTTAGTGTTAGATTAGGCTTAGATTTAGGTTCTTTAACACATTTCAAGCTTGTAATCAAGGATTCAACACTTGGATTCCAAGATTTACCATCAATTTCTTAGTGAAGTTTTCTTTCTTTTATCTCTTTCTTTTGTAAGATTTATGTTTAATGCTTGTGCTTTTGTGTTCTTTATGATATTTAATCATGAGTAGTTAGTTTATGGACTTGAGTTAGGGTTGTATTATCTATCTTGATGCTTGATTTGTGATTATTGCAAAAAGGGGTAAGAACTCCAACCTAGGGTTCATGTGTTTGTGAATGTTTTGTATTTATATCTTGTTAATGTTTGATGTACACATTCATTAGCTTGTTTTTGGAGGATTCCTTGCCTCAACGAGAGTTGGGTGATGAATCCAAGCCACCCCTTGCATAGACCCGATTTCTTCCTACGAAAATAGGGGAAATTGGGGGCTTTAGATGCTTTGTGTGCTTGATGGACTTGGAATTGATTCACCACGAAAGTGGGCAATTTCTTGTTCTAATCCTTGTTTATTAATCACGAGAATGGTTCGTAGACTAGGATACCTACGTGCATTCCCGTTTGTTTCCTTGGTTACTTGTTCTCCCTAATCCCTTAGGTTGTTAAAGCATCTAGATGATAATGCTCCCTAGCTTGAGTCCTATCTCTTTATTTTTGTGTTTATCTTTGTGTATATGTGTTAGTCTTATCATTTCCTTAAACTTGTAGTTTGCTTAGCTTCTTGTTGATTTCCTTATGCTAGTGCCTAGTTTATTGTGATTGCATATTGCGTGCCATATCCCCCAATCCCCTGAGGACGACATAACACACCCGAGCTCACATCTTATTTTTGCTACATCAGTAGATCAGGGTATGGAGATGTTTGTTGGGTGTGAGGGTATTGATCACACGAAGCATATTGGGAGTTTGGTAATGGTAAGGTGAGTCTTGGTATGGTAGGATTGTGATAGGTAAAAATTTTGGTAGTTTGGAGCGTATTGAGAGTATGAGTTTTGAGGGTGGAATTGTGGTGGATAAAAGTATGGGGATTGAGCACCATAGTAGTTGTTAGGAGGTGGGGCTTGATTTGTGCAAGGATCTCCATATCCATCATATCATGTTGATTTGCCACAACCCTAAGATTGAGAATCATTATATCCTCATTGGAATGCATACACATACATGGTGAAAGTTCTTGATTGAGTGGTAGAAGCTCATCCTTTAATTAAAATCTAGAGTATATGCACAAAGTAAGGACCCTATTCAAACAAGGTAAAACAATTAGCTCTTTGAATAATAAAAAACAAACAAAAAGAAAGAAAAATTAAAGCTTAGTCTACTAAGATTCCCCAAACTCTAAAGCTTGTAAAACAATCAATCACATAGAGCGTAACCACCAAATTGTCAATCTTCAGCAACGACGCCAATTTTTTATGTAGCAAAAATAGTGATAGTGAGTGTATGAGTGTGAAATGTCGTCCTCAGGAGATTGGGGTTATGGCACGCATATAATCACAAGTAACTCTAATACATACACACATATATATATAACATTCTTTTATATTAATAATGCTCATTCCCTATGGTTTCAACACAGTCACGTTTTTAATAGCTTTTATATATATATATATATATATATATATATATATATATATATATATATGTATGTATGTATATAAAAAAATATTCTTTTATATTAATAATAATATGTGTTTTTTTTAATTATCTCTTTTGTTTTAGGGGTTCACCTTTATTGATATTTTTTTTTTTTTTGAATTCGTCCCTACTTCTTGGCCCCCCCCAACCAAATTTCTGGCTCCGTCCCTGATTGTAGACACCTCTTTTAATTGGAACAGCTGGCCTGAAGATTTAAGACTGCTTCATTCCGATCCCAAAGCCAATGATCGAATCTTAAAATGAAACATGCATGGTTTGAACTTTGAAGGTCAAGTTCAACAAACATGATTAATAGACTCATTGATATTCCTTTAAAAAAAAAAACTAATTGATATTGTATATGGGTTAATCGCCTTAGCTTCAACATCACATGTACTGGGAATGGTTTCCAAACGAATCATTTTTCAACAATACTGTGCTATCACATACCTAACTATACTAGTAAAGTCAATGGATCACAATATAAAATCAATTCATAAGCCATCCAAGTTCTACCATGCATTAATCACAATAAATAGTGATCATCACATAATAAATTTGTCAGTATATATATACTAGACAGATCAGAATTTATAATCAATTGAGAAGACAAGTTTCAAGCTTAATGTCAGTATATATATACTCAACAGATCAGGATGTATAATCAATTGAGAAGCCAAGTTTCAAGCTTATTAATGACAACAATGGGTGTGTTTGGTTCTCACATGATTATTGACATATTCTTCCTTACTTGATTTCATGGGATAACGCTCATCCTCAATGTCATCATCGGGTACAATAGTGACTCTCCAACCCCTAGTCAATGCTAAGGTCTCCTCATCTAATCAATTTTTCCCCACACTTGATGAGCATTGAGTGGGTGGGGAAAAAGAATTTAGAGGCCAGGTGAGCTTTGATGGTATGGATTTTGGGGTGGTGGAGGAGAGTTT